GAATACATTGCCTTCACTTGAAGCTCCAAAATTTTTTTTTCTAAATTTTGCAAACAAAAAATTCTAAAATATGTTATAGCCAAAGCTTGCTCCATCATACTGCGCATTTGTTTAGTGAAAGAAACACTTATCACGAAGGCATGGAACGAATTTCAATTCGACTGCCTGCTTGCCACGACAGACAGACTTCCAGGATTATGAAGGGCTGCTTTGAAATCAAAAGAGGCAATCTCGAGATTTGAGAGCTGCGGTATATGTATTTGCAAAGGATGGTTCATGTGTGCACCAAATTTTCTGTTTCTAGGTACTTTCCTTCTGATTTTATCTGGTAAATGGCTCTCAGAATTTTGCCTCACCCTGCAATATGAAGAACCTCAAGACACTACTATTTGTTTGCTGTAATATACTCGATACAAAATTGTTGTTAGGTGTTTTTGGGGTCCTGATGTAGACATCCACCAAATATGGAATTGAAGCTGCAGAGTTCAGAAATTTCACAAATTTATTATAAAACTACTAAGTGAATATTAGCCAACGAAGACGCCATTGAAGAAATGATAGCTCAGAATTTGTAAGAAGGAACATCTTTTCGCAACAGTGTATATTTGTCAATGATTGCAATTGTCTTCTACAGACAGCTTCAATTGTTTAGTATATTTGCGTGGCAGATTTCAAGACATAGTTGAAAATGTTGGATTTTGTCGTAATGTTTACAGACGTGAGAATGGATGGAAAATCTGATTGTTGATTTTCAGTGCTGCTGACGATACATGCTGGGGCCATCGCTGTCTGGAACTTTCTATCTAGTTGCACACGTGAACCCTTCATTTATCTAGATTATCAGACTTAATGAGAAAGTCCCAACAAGAATCCTTCAAATTTTTATCACTGTCACATAATTTTGTTGTCGTGTTGTCCCATTCTCACCAGTAAATAGCACTTTGTGTAATGTGCACGTCCATCTCTTTGGTTGAATTCTGCAGTTCCCATTCCACCACTTGTCGAAATGATCAAAGAAGGAAGTGGCGTAATTATCATCTGTTTGCCTATAAGATTCTTTTGAAAACCGAACACCTCAAAAAATCAAAAATGCACACGAGAAAATAAACTTATGCGTAGTGCACGCATAAGTTACCGAGATCAAACAGCACCGTTTTTTCTTGAGAGGATGTTCAAATTCTGATAATGCAGAGCACTTACTTGTGTTGTAATGTACGTATTCTTCAGCCGGTAAAAACATGCAGCTCATGCGGCAGCAGCAGCAAAAAAAACATCTTTCATTCATTTTAGGACTAGGAGACGGGAGACCTCCTTGCACACATTGTCTAAACAAGCTTAATCGTGTACTTAGCAGGTTTATACTCGTCGTTTATCTCGCCCATGTTTATTCACACTTTGGAAACATGGAAGAACAAACTCAAACATGTTAAAACAATGTCCGCAATGCGGTCACGCTTCTCCTATTCGTAGAATAGATGACAAGTGAGCATGCAGTCAGTGCAGCTTTTCTTTTCTAATGTAATAATTCTTGAAAAACCAAACTTTCTCAGCTTGTAGATAACTGCCGAAATTCCGATTTTTGATGAAAAGTGCAGATTTTTCTAAGGATTTTTCGATTTTTTTCTGTTCTAAATTTCCAAAAGATGAAGGCTAGAAACGGTGAAGTTAGAGCAACTTATTGTCACGTGCATACTTCTGACAATGTTGCAATTGTCTATAACTCATCGTGAACGCATTCTTTTGGTCTGCCTGTCTTGGATTTGTAGAGTTCGGAAGATTGCTAGATGTGTGGTGAATTTAATCGCGTAAATGTGCCTGGCACCTCAGGCTAACAGCTACTAGTTTCAGACTAGGCCAATCTCCTGTTTGGAGCTTACGGAACTGTTTCTTCAAAATTCTGCATTTATTGGTTCGATCATGGAACTCACGAATGCAATATAAATATGAAAATTTTAGTTTTGGCAGGCTGAAATTTGATTATTTTGAACCGCACAGGATATCTAGGCTCGACTTGCTTAAAAAAAATCGTTTGCGAATTTCTTGTTTGTTCTCTTTTTACGACTTAAAGCTGAATTGTTTTGTTTAAGGAAAGCTGAATTGAATAATATGTAAATCGCCAGCCACTATTCTGTATTTGGTGATCGATTAAAGCAACGAAAAAAAAACTTTCGCATCCTACATACTCTACTTATTGCAACGCTTGGCCAAATATTTATAAATAATATACGAGCAATCAAACTCAAGAAGTTGTGAGCTTGAGTAACTTGAACATCCGCACAAGATTTGTTTGCAGTTTGTTTGATTATGTTGATTACGAAAAGGATATCCGCAATTTTATGAGTATGAACGTGACGCAGCTTCTTCATATTGAAGGCATGTCCAGCCAAAACTTGACTCCTACAATTACTTTCTATCTAAAATAGGCCCCAAAGAGGAGCATCTGCGTTGGTCCGGCCTTACAATAATGTCTCTGAATGGAGATCATGGACCTGGAGCCGAGAAAGTACTATCAAGCCACGCCTAGATCCTACCAAGCTCCGTCCAACGCCAGATTGCGCGTACGCGACGTACGCGACGTACGCAGCGCAATTTGGCGCGACCCGTAGCGGAAGCCGCCGTCTTCGGTTAAGGCTTCCAGAAGTCGGGTTTTTAGGGGGTTTCGCACTTTTTAAACTTATAACTGTAACTAGGATCTCAAAAGATTCCGAATGACGAAAAAACGGCAAATTTTGGATGGACTCTGCCTCTACAGTTAAGTTATGAAAATATTTACGGCGTATGCGATTTTGGTTATGCTTCATCCCAACAATTTTGCTCTAGAATTATACAGGGTTTCCCAAAAAATGTACCTTCTGTTTGATAGTTATAACTCTCTTGTAATTCCTTCGAGAAGCTTTAGGTACCATTTTGTAGGGCTGGTTTCAGCTTAAGTTTACTTTATAGAAAGGATCACCGATCGCTCTTCATTACTGTAGAATTACGGTAGAAACTTGAAACATATGGTGTCACTGCGGAAGAAGCTGCCGTTTTAAAATTTTTCAAGAAATGTGAAAACTTGTGTGATAGGGTTTTTATGGATCTGAGTTCTATACTCAACTATTCACACTTTCTAAATGGTGTGACCGCACTCTTTAGGAACATTGAAAAATGACCTTTACTGCTTACCTCGCATAACTCTTCAATGAAGCATCATAATAAGTTGGGAACTTTACAGTTGGAACCAGCAACTCTAATTGGCCTAGTGTAAGAGTTTTCAGGCTGTTTTGTTTTCCTTTGGCAAAATATGACCTTTCATGGCTCAAAACCCTCTCTGAAGTTTCTACCGTAATCTTACAGTAATGAAGAAAGATGTTTGATTTGTTTTGTATTGTAAATCTAAGTTGAAGCTAACTCTACAAAATGGCACCTAAAGCTTCTCGAAAGACTTTATTACAAGAGAGTTATTAACAATCAAACAGTAGGTGCATTTTTTTGGGACACCCTGTGTGCTGTTACATATGTGTGGCCGTGTCTTCACAATCAAAGTATACGATTGTGTGTGTTCCAAGAAATCTAGTCGCAAAGACAAAAACAGAATCGTTCAATAGATAATTGCCCCGCATGCACCCTTTCAAATGTCAAATCAAATTGCTATCGATGCCATTGATGGAGTAATTGGACAAATGTAGTTGACATTTACTACATTAAAATTTCTTGCCGTGTGGTCGAGACTTGACATTGAATGCTGATCCCTCAGCAGTTTTTATCTAAAATTGCTAAAAACATCTATGAGGTTTTTTTTTGTCAACTTTGCTCACTAGAATATCTCAGCGTTCATGTATTCTTCATTCCATTCAACTTTCATTTTGTGTGGCTCAAATAGTCGCTTTCATAGTTAAGATATGGTTACGTTAGTGCTACTTTTTCTGCAGCGAAAGTCCCGAAATTGAGTGTTTTCGTGATCATTGGATTAATTCTCTTGGTGTGCTGACTACTGTTACGAAATTTCTTTTCGCAATTCATGACAGCGCACTGCTAGTGGGTGGAAGAAAGAGAAACTTTACAAAATGTAGAGGAGATAGAATATCATGTAATGTCTTCATTTCACCTTGCAAATCTTGTTTATCTTATTTTTTTCCAGTTGATGCTTAACTTAATGCAAATAGAGAAAAGCAAGCTTTACAACTTCATTATCACAAATCACAAATGGACACTTGAAGTTTGGAAGTCACTGGAAACATTTCCTTGCCTTGAAAATCGAATCTACAAATCCAAATTCGCTTACCATAGTTTACTCTACTATATATGCTATGACGTGTTTTTTTTCAATTTTCTGAAATACAGGGTGTCCCAAAAGTAAGTACACACTTTTCAATTGTCAATATCTCTCTTCCCAATGGGTCTTTCTTTGCCGGTCCAGTACCATTTGTAGAGGAGGCTTCATCTTAGATTTACAGTATTGAGCGAATCACCGATGCTCTTCGTTACTGTAGGATTACAGTAAGAACTTCCAGCATGTGGAATCCTTGTGAAATATGCCATCTGACAAACTTTTCTTTCAAAAAAGAAAAATCGTGTACTAAGTTCTTCGCGCACGCTGATTCCACTAGACAACTTTTTACGAGTGTTTTCAGCTTTTTCGACGGTGTAGTCACATTTCTTACAAATACTGGGAATTTGGTTATTACGGTTTACCTGGGATAACTTTGGAAAGGAGCATCATAGTGAAGTGAAAATTTTATATTCGAAATCAGCTGATTCCATTACCATGGTATAAAAGTTTTTGGCTAGTTCGATTTTATTCTTGTGCGCAATATTGCTTCCAATGGTCTAAAATCCTTGTCGAAGTTTCTACAGTAATCCTACAGTAATGAAGAGCAATCGGTAATTCGCTCAACGCCATACATCTAAGTTGAAGTTTCCTCTACAGAATGGTACTTGAATGGCAGAAGAAGACGCAATGAGAAGAGAGATATTAACGATTGAAAAGTGTGTACTTTTTTGGGACACCCTGTACAAGGATGGTAAGTGCAAATTGGCAGCAACTTTCTTATATGTATTTTACAGTGGCTGTCCAAAAAATTCCTTATGGTAAGTGAGTGTGACCCAACTGTTTTTTTTCGAAAGGCGGCGCGGTGTTGGTCATGGCTTTTGAGAATTCCTGAAATACTACGCAAAATTTTCTTTAAAATTTGCAAAAAAATTTGAAAAATTCTGCTTTCTGCTTTCCAAATACTTGCACATGTTCAAGTCTCCGAAGGTTTATTACGCGCTTCATAAACAAGAACCTTACTGATGCCTCAGCTGAGGAAAATACTAGGTGCCCATAAATTACGTTGACAAATCAAGTTTTGAGACTTTTATCGGGATTCCGTTAATTTGAACTACTTTGTGAAAGGTGTGTGGACATTTGTAATAAGAGGATTGAGCATAAAAACCTTGTCGGCTCTGTAAACGACTAGTTAGAATAGCAGGAAAGTGCACTGACGCCGTTTTGTCCTTCACTTTTTGAGATTTAAATGCTTTAACACAGTAAAATTTGATCTGATAAGAATTTCAAACTTAAGTTTGTCAACGTAATTCGTGGGCACATCTCACTTGACTGATATCTCTATAAACGCCATAAAACCGAAACGATTGGTGGTTTTATAAACTTTATGATCTGCTCTTTGTTATCGAGCAAAATACATGCTGATCGAACTGTGTGAGTTAAATTTATCGAGTAAGCCTTAGAAAACGCTAGATGATTTACATTGATGAACAACGAGTAAATAATGAAAAGAACGATTTTATTAAAAAAAACATAAGCCCTTAGAATGATGTTTAGTCAACACAAGGTTTGTTCCATTAGAATAAGCTATTTATAAATTCCATAAAAAGCTTTTTGAATTCTAATGCTCTATTCAGATTTTGGAGACCTTACGCAAGAACTATTGGTGAACACTAACCATCTCTGTCTAAATTTGGCGGCAAAAAGCAACACAGACAAACACTTCTTTTGAAAATTTAAACTTGCAAATCCTTTCAGAATGCAATAAATAGGATATTTTTGGTTTAGTGCGAGAAAACTTTTCAACTTAATATTCACAAACAAGAACGATATTTGCACAACATCGCAGTCCCAGATTTGAAAATTTCGCATTTCTTTAGTGAAGTAATAATTTATGCCAAGACTGAACTTTTCAGATGACTTGTGAGGACACTAGTAAGGATGAACATTGCTTATTGCAAAAGGATAGCTCTGTCAACAATACCAGCGACGGTTTAATCACACCAGGGGAAATCCTCAACTATCTGGGTAAGCCGTTCTTGTTTTTGATGAATTTATTCATGTTGAGGGTTAATGAAACGGCTATAGATAATCTTTGACTAATGCCTTTGATTCAATTTGTGTCAAATGTGGTGATAGCGAGTGTTATAACAGATTTATCCATTTAATTTAGGCACAATGAAAATAGCTTTTGATTATTCAAGTGACGCGTTCGTGAGCTCAAGAAAATTGAAGATTCAAAAAAAAAGTCAGAATGAGCCGTGCCCATTTTTGCTTCGCATGCTGCTAAAATCTATGTTTTTACAATTTTACAATAATTTTTTTTAAATTTTTTTTACAATAATTTTCATAGAACATTCATTTATTCTATCAAAGTGTTCTCATAATATCCGCTCTTAGGTGATCGAACTTGCTCAGAGCGCAAAAATCAGTTACAAAAGACAAGTGGAGGGAAAAAAAGATATCAAAAAGTGCACAACTTGTTTGTAAACCTTATATCTTCAGGTCCGCGCAATCCTTTTCTCGTCACTTGCGTACTTGTAACTGGACTAACTTGGGCTGTAGCTGCTATGAACGGTATGAGCACCGCCTTCATAATACAAAGTTGCGAGAACTGCTCAGATATGATCTCCCTCGTTGACGAGGTTGATTGAAGGTCTTGAGGTTGTATGGTAACTAATACTATGTTTAGTTCGACTTACGTCATAAGAACTCTTGGTACGCAGATGCAACGGTAAGCGCGTTCATGATTGGAAACGGAATTGGTGGAACGTTAGTGTCAAAGGCAGCAGACAGGTGAACTAATGATTATTTACATCACAATAAAGAGGGAAATTCTGCACAAATTATGCACGTACAAATTCTTCGCTTTTGCAGTCCATTTGAATCTTATTATTACAAAAACTTATTGATTGGTTTGCTTCCACTGGATCCAAAAAAGTTTGTTGCAAACTTCACAACTTCACACTTACAACAGAGAAATCTCTTTTTGGTGAATGAAGATTGCTATAGCTTCACATTACGACGCATGTTAGGATCCGGCAAAGTCCGAGCGATGTCCCAGAAAAAATTGTAGACGCACTCTGTGTTGGAAATTGTCATTCTATTGTAGATACCATCATTCAGTACTTATGGCTAGGTGTGAATCCTAAACTGAAGCTTATAATCAAATGATTAGCATAGCTGCTAAAAAGCTTGACTTTACTAACTTAGATATGGCAGACGCCCAATTCTGATCCTTTGTTTTCTGACAATGGCTGTCACCGGCATACTAGCCGCCTTTTCACCATCGGTAATGGTATTTGGAGTTATTCGTCTCGTGCAAGGAGTTTTTTACACAGTGAGGTATTATTTGTCTTACGTCTACTTAGCAGTAAGTATATGCTTTAGGGATCCGCATTGGTGGGATGGGTTCTGGGCTACGAATGCACACCTGTAGAACTCCGGTTTTTTACTACAGGCATGCATCTCTTAATGATAACTACAATACAGAATGTGCAAAACTTCCATGAATGTCGCGGTACTACGATAATTACGCGGTTTACGCAATATACGCAGCGCCATAACTTCCTTCGGAATTAATATAGTCTAAATCCGGAAGCAGCGCAGTGTTCAACCTTGTCAAGGTCAATCTTTTGATGTACAGCATGTCTTCAATATTCCGTTTCCAGTTCTCTCAAATGTTTCTGCAGGAGTCCGTTGGCAAAGATGTATCGCAGCGCCTATCCGGCGTAAAAGATACCAGGAAGTACTATTGCTGATGCTTAGCAACAGAGCTTCATATCTTAGGGTGATGAAGAGTAAAATAGAACGACATGATTTTTCAGAAGACACCAGCCCTTATTTCCTTTGGAAAGAAATCTGCGGCTACTTTCTAGCGCACTATGTCCTACAAGGACAATACTATCGAATAGTACTTTTTGGTACATTTTGCGTCGGATAGGCGTTGGGGAACATCTTTGCGAACGACCATCTGCAGAAGAATTTGAAAGGACTGGAAAGGGAATATCGAGGACAGATCAAAAGATTCGCCTTGACGAGCTGAACACAAAACTGCTTCCGGATTCAGAGTTTATTTATTCCGAAGGAAGTTATGTGCAAGATACTGTGAAACAAAGACGCATAAAGCATACAGGGTGTCCCAAAAAAATGTGAACACTGTTTGATCGTTGATAACTCCGTTGCTTTCATGTCTTTGGCCGAGCTGGAGGCACCATTCTGTAGAGCTAGTTCAACTTAGACTTATAGCATGGAGCGAATCATCGATCGCTCTTCGTTACTGTGGGATTACGGTAGGAACTTTCAACATGTGGATCCATTGTGAGATATGCCATTCGACAAAATTTTTTCCAAAACTAGGGGTTTTTGCGCACGCTGATTCTACTGCACAACTTTTTTCAAAGCCTTTTTGACGGTATAATCACATTTCTGACAAATACTGGAAATTCGGTTATTGCGGTTTACCCGAGATAACCTTGAAAAGAAGTATCGCAGTAAAGTGGAAACTTCATATTTGAAATTAGCGTCTTCCAATACCATAGTATAGAAGTTTTTGGGTTGTTTGGTTTTGTTTCGAGACAAAATATGGCCTACAATGGCCTGTAATCTTTGTCGAAGTTCCTACCGTAATGCTACAGTAATGAAGGGCGGTCGACGATTCGCTCCATACTGTAATCTAAGCTAAACCTCGCTAAGCTCGGCGAAAGACATTGAAACAAGGGAGTTATTAACAATCAAACAGTGTTCACATTTTTTGGGACACCCTGTATATTAGGTTGTCCCGAAAGTTTTGTCGGTTTTTTCAAACCACTATAAAACCACGCACAATGAAGACCTGAATGAGCATCAACATGTATCAGATGCAGATTTTCATTCTCTTTCTTGTGGTTGCATTTAAGACCAAGTGCCTGTACGGCTATTTTGATAATTGCCACAAATCATCACTCGTCATTTTTATCTGCTCAAAGTCAGGCTAATTTTCAAAAATTTCATTCCAAAGTTTTGGAAAGGGCTAAGCATGGCACAAATAGAACAATTCTCGGGCTGTACGACAGTATTTTTAGATTCTCCTAAATTGCTGTTTCTAGCTTTAGAGAATTATTTTTTCGGAGGTCTCGATTTCTGGCAAACCCATGGAACACGCAACTGCGGCAAAAACATGAAGATTTTCGGAATTTCTGCGAATTGAAACTTGATTGCTAACAAACAATAATTATGCAACAATAGCAAGTTTAATTTGCTTGGATAAATCAGCTTTTTGGAATTTTTGGTAATTTTACGTGGTAGACGTGATCAAAAAGCCGCGGTTTTTCTTAAATAAATAATTATTTTAGGACTTGTTAAGTTTGACCCATGTAATCTAAAATGAGCATAATGTAGCCGAAGAATGGCTCTACATAATAGTTATTAGCGCTTTTTGAAAGTAGTAGGCGAAATTTTTTTAAAATTCAGAAAAGATTTGGCGCTACTGCTGAGGTGCTCAAAAAGCCATGGCGATAACACTGCGAAGACAGAGTAGATCAGAGAACAAACATAGCTGCAAGAGAGGTTGAAAATCTGAATTAAATAATATCTAGACCTTCCTTGAATTGGTATTCTGTAGGTTTTAGTGGGCGATGGAAAAAACCGACAAAACTTTCGGGACAACCTAATATTTATTGTAGAACGCATTGTGACTTTTGAGTTATTTGATCCCTTGGATCACTTTGCAGCTCTTGGTAGTTTGGTCCTTAGAGAGAAGATTACGGAAAGTTGCTTCCAAACGATCTGCGGTAAGAATATTTGAAAGTCTGCATTGGTAATATCTGCAACGTAGTAATTTTCTTCAAATCTTGAACTATTACACCAGTTTGTTTACCCAAGAGTAGTAGAAGCACCCTGACATTACATATGTATCGCAGTGATCGTGCTCTACTCAAGCAGCACGAAATGGCGATAGGTACGAGGGTTGAGGTAAAGTATTCTTCAAATCAAGGATGCAGAATCCGAAAAGAAACTTCCTGACTTGTGACATCAAGAAACGTGGTTGATTTGCGCAAAAATAAGAAATCTAGTTAGTTTCATCGTTTTCTGCGCACTACTAAAGCTGGCTAGATATTGGCCAAAAATATATGGGGAACTTCTATGAATATAAAATCAACAACATAAAATTCTTTCATTTGTTATGCTTCAAATTTCCAGTGTATTTTGGAATATTATGGGTTGTTGGATATTGCATCGTCACACCATTAGCCATGTTCTCACCCAACTGGAGATGGCTAATCTTCTTCGTTTCTATACCGCAACTCGTTACTGCTATCTTGTGTTTTATGTAAGTCAACTCGAGCATTTTGATAACGAGATGTAGATATTAAGACTGGTACCTGAAAGTCTTCACTTTCTCGCTCTTGAGAAAAAAGAGCGATCGATAGGTGATTGGCTTAAAAGAGCACGAGGAAGTAAGAAAACCCTCATGCACATCAAGGCTGGCACCGTTGTGAGCTCATTGGAAGAAAATCCAGAGTGAGTGGGATTAACCTTTATTATTCATAAATAAGCGTTGTCTTGCCGTGATTTAGGGCTCAAAACTTGTTTGTGGAACTTTGGGCACACAAAGTCTTTTTAGTATACACGATGGTTCTCATTTATCTGTGGTAAGTTCGAAGCATAATTTGTAATCTCGTCGATAGCTGTACGAGATTGCGCCTGAAATGAAAACACACGGAGAAAAAAAACAAGGACAAGATCTGTAATCTCCTATAATTGACTATAATATAACTAATATGTTGACTATAATCGATCTAGTTATCCAAAAGAAGCGGACGCGTACAGCTAAAAATTAAGGTGCCGTGGTCGTAACCTCAAAGCATGAAAATACAGGGTGTCCGTAAAAAATGTGCCTACTGTTTGATTGTGAATAACTCTCTTCTAACGAAGTCTTTCAAGAAGCTTTAGGCACCATTTTGTAGAGCGAGGTTCAACTTAGATTTGCAGTATAGAGCGAATCACCGAGCTCGTTTTATTACTGTAGGAGTACGGTAGGAACTTTCAGCATATGGAACCATCGTGAAATATGCCGCCTGACAAAATTTTTTCAAAAAATCTAAAAAATCGTGTACTAGGGTTTTCGCGCACGCTGATTCCACTACACAACTTTCTACGGGTGTTTTCAGCTTTTTTGACGGTGTAATCACATTTCTGAAAAATGCTGGAAATTCAATTATTACGGTTCACCTGGGGTAACTTAGGAAAGAGGCACCACGGTAAAGTGGAAATTTCATATTCGAAAAGAGCGGCTTCCACTACCATAGTGTAAGAATTTCCGGCTTGTTTGGTTATGTTCCGAGGCAGATTATGGCCTCCAAAGACCTAAAATCCTTGTCGAAGTTCCTACCGTAACAGTAATAAAAAGAGCTCGGTGATTCGCTCTATACTGCAAATCTAAGTAGAACCTCGCTCTACAAAATGGTGCCTAAAGCTTCTCGAAAGACTTCATTAGAAGAGAGTTATTCACAATCAAACAGTAGGCACATTTTTTACGGACACCCTGTAGAATTTGACGTTTCTCATTCAAAGGAGTGGAACCAAGTGGCTTTACAACAGCATTTGCACTTAGTCAAAAAGCGACCGTCAGCAAAACAACAACAGTTCAAAAAATGATTAACAAAAGCTTTAATCGATATTGTATTAGGTACTTTCAGGAATTGCGACACATTTATTTACTTTGGCCTTTCACTTTACAGTACTCATTTTGCTGGAAACATCTACTTAAATTATTTCCTCATCGGATTGGTAGAATTGCCAGCTTACATTCTATCTCCTATTGCAATGGACAGGTGATTGAAAAGTTATGTAGGTATAAAGTTTGGGATTGGTTTTTAGGTATGGAAGAAGGATTGTGATTGCATTAGCGCACATATCTGCTGCAATGATTTTTCTCATACTTGTGTTTACTCCAGGTAAAAATTAGTTCTTCTGTACCTCATGAGTACAAACATCTATAATTTAGAAATTGTATGGGTTCGCACGACGTTATGGGTCTTTGGAAAGTTTGCTATCTCATGTTCATTTATGAGTATATACGTTTACGCTAGCGAAATATTTCCTACCAACATCAGAAACCTATCAATTGGATTTTGCGAGATGATGTCGAGAGTTGGGGGCATTCTTGCTCCATACGTCAAGGCACTGGTAAGTGTGCTGAGACAGAAACAAAGCTTCATAACCAGGATCGAGCAAGAGGTGTGGTACACAAGCGTTGGATACGACCCCCTCCCTATCTTCTCAATACCCCCACAGCATTATCGTTTGCCTTCCTTAGGCATGACGCTCTACCATGCATAATTAAGCAGATTTTCGTAATTATCATGTCAAATAACCAGCTAAGTTTTAGCAAGTTTTGAGTGTTCTCAATATTGGACCACCCAAGTGAAGTAATCATTTTCAAACATAATTAACTAATTAACTTACAAAAATGAAACAGCTTACTATTTTTGCACTCAGTACAAAGCACTAATCCCTATTTACCCACATCATGAATCCAGTCAAAAATAACTGTCGTACTATGGAACTAGGAGCAGGCCAAAATTTCGTTTGTCCCATTTTTCGCTTTCAATGGCTGCGCTTTCACCAGCTTTTACTCATGGCCCAAATTGCTTCCGTGAAAACTGCAAGACTCATGGTCACTCTATCAAACTATATGTGCTTTGTTCGCTGAATTTCTTTTTTTGAGGCAAGTTAATAGGGTGTGGCACAACCCCTGAAAAGCTTGGCCGCCACAACTTATTAGGGGTTATGCTACACCACATTAACTTCTTACCTTTAAAGCATTCAAATCCTGTCTCTTTTATATGATGGCTACTGCTGAACCTTCTCCTCCACATAACAGGAATTCAGTTCGAAATTGTTTCTCTTAGTGAAAGATGTAGTCGTTTTTCTTTAGCTTAGCAAATGGAAAAACCACGGAAATATTGGATTACGGTAATGTGCTAAGTCTGTGCAACTACATGAATTGCGAGGGAAGGCGGCAAGAACTAGCAAATTCGATAGCCTAATTCTCGTAATTTTCCAAAGTAGTGATTTGAGTCTGTTTGGTCTTCTCTAGTCTTACAAATTGAAAGCGAAAGTAGTTTGTTCACTTACCTTTGAAACAAAGTTAGCATGTTCGAAAATGACCACCTCACTTGAGTGTCTCAATACTTGGAAACTTCAAACTTCTTTGAAACTTGGCCCGCAGGGGTTATTTGACATGCTAATTACGAAAATGATGCCTTTATGCTTTTGAAATTCTTTCAATATGTTTACTGTGCGTGTCAGAGGGTAGGCGAAAACACCAGTGCTGGTATCTTGCACAATTGGCCCCTATCAGACATTCTTGATTGACATCATGTCGCTAACATCACTACCACTGCAATGACGACCCTCCCCCTTTTTCTGACCCTTTTACGACCCCCAGGTAAGGCGTGCCACACCCTACGCTTCCTGTTCATAACTTACTAGACCAGTAATACCAATGCCGACATCACTTGATTGGTCGAAGTAAATTCTGTTATGCAAACTTTATTTAAAAGGGCATCAAATGCAACAGCTTCAAAGTTGCCTAGTGAGAATACGGCTATTTTCTCCATTCAAACAAGCTTAACAAGTAAAATCACTTTTATTGTTTGTATTTCAACTAAGCAGGTTGCATTAGCATCTTTTCAGTAGGTATACAAAGTTTAGCAACAGTGGGCGCATAGAGGTATGAGCGAAGCAACCTCTTATACTACTGTCATCAGCCTAATAAAGGTCGAAAACCTACATTATCCTTATTTTTGACTCACTTTATAATGTAGAAATTTAAGGTTTTGCGGTTTTACCGAAACCAGGATAAAGGATGTGGTTTTGCTGCAATCATAGAATTATGCTTACTTGAGTGATGCTTTTCATTTAGGGTCAAATATCGCCAATCCTGCCAATGATAGTGCTTTCGCTGATCTCTCTGATTGGAGGCCTGATTACATTCATACTCCCTGAAACTCTCAATCGTCAGCTTCCTTCAACGATAAAAGAGTCATCTCAGCGAACAAGGCATTAGCGATGTTGATCACCTATCTGTACAAAAATAAAATATTGCTTATTTCACTCTACCTCAGCATAAATAAACCGCCTAAAAACATTTGTTTCTCAACGAACTGGGAATTTGGGAGACTAAGAATTCGACAACCATTATTAAAGCGCGTGGTTATCAAAGCGTTCCACAATGGACGCGCAGAAAAAATGTCATGCAAGGACTAATTGCTTATTTGCTAGAGTAATGTCTTTTTTGTGCTGATTGAAGGGCCTGGTTAATGATGATTTTTCAAAAGATTTTTGAGAGGTTCTCCAACTTGCAAATTAAGTAGAAAAAAACGTAATATTGCAAAAGGTCTGAAAGCGATCTAAGTTTACGTTTTGTTCTTATGCCGCCAAACATCTCTTTTGAGTTTATGCCGCCAGACGTTGTTTGAGACGCATCGTACTGACAATGAGTACAGCAAACGAGGTTGAATTTTCTTCGCATAAGGTTTGGTCAAGGCTGCGCGCCTACGCGGCTTACGCAACATACAAATCTTTATCGTGTGCCTACTTGCGTGCGTATGCTGCGTAGTTTGGCCCAACCCTAAGTTTGAAGAAAACGACGGCAATGATTTTAGCGTCATACTATCCTGGCTACGAAAATGTGACATTTTGCCACAAAAGTCCCTCAAATATATACTATCAAAACCAAACTGTGAACAATAGAATTGACTATTTAGCGATAACATGATCTACTGCCAACGATATAGCAGTGTGAGCTTGATACTTATAGGTAGCAGGAATCACTAAGCACAACTTGTGATGTGATGTGCGATGTGATGTGTGCCACACTGATCTAGTGCGGTCAATTGGCTGATGGACTAGGTTGTCTAACCTCGGTCGATGTACCCAGTTTGCGTCTGAAACAATGTCAAGGGAAGCAGACTCAGGAGAAGTGTTTGGCGTCATAGTGGAAATGATAGGTAACTATAATCCCTTCCAGACCTTTTGCATTACTTACTTCTTTTTGCATAGTTTTTCCTTGCAAGTTTTACCCAATACGTCTTATTGGTGTAATAATAAGATCTACTATTCATCTGGCTGCACTATGATCATCTACAGGAAGTAGTCCACTTTACTCATTGCGCCATGTATACCCTGGTTCTCATGTACTTTGGGCGAAATTATACAACCAATGCATACTCTAGTTTTCTCAATATTTTGCGTTTTGATAGCGTTAAAAGTAGTTTATTAGTGAAAGGTTTAGTCAATCGCACTGTTTCAGCAGAATTTGTTTCTCGGGCTTTCGCAAAATAGCTTTAGTGACTCTGTCCATCTACGCGAGTTCAAAATCGCTTAAAATCCTCGAAAACAACCTTCTTAGAGTGCGCAGAAGCATTGTGCGCGAGCTGACAAGGAAAGGATGATCGGTCGAAGTGGCCATCTGGAATAAGCTGTATATTGGGAAACCGTCCTCGGTAAGGCAAACTCAAAACTACTTTCGCTAGGTGCCGAGCGGTTTTGTGGGGTGAGTAACAAGGTCATTTTCCTCCGGCACAGCCGGAGCACCCAGTGATGAACGAGGCGCTAGAACAACGCAGCAGTGTGGCGGTGGCGCAGTGGCAAGACAGCGGACTACGAAGAATTCAAATGATATATTAACATGTTGAATACAACCACAAAATGTTGGAAGCAGAAGAGCTTCTCGCAGCGCGCGCACTTGCAAAATTGCAATCGATTCACATCCCATGTATTGGCTCTCGATCTAAACTTTGCCTTGCATCATAGGGATTCCATCCTTAAGATCTTATCGTTCATTTACACACAGTTTTGCTCGCCGCGATCAAAAATTTCCTTTCATACCCATGGCATGCAGCCGGATACATTGATAACCACTCCGGCGAACTCGAGTCTCCTAATCAGTACTGTTTTTCACCGACTTTGATAGGCAATTGTGAAGCTGCTGATTGTCATCCTTTATATTTTACACGATGTGTGCGATGCGAGGCTCTTCTGCTTTGAGCATTTTGTGGTTGTATTCCATACATGTTAATATATTATTTGAATCCCTTGCTATGACATCATAACCTCCACAGATTTACATATTGTAGAAGATTATAGCTTACTAGCTGGCTTACCCGGCTCCGCCTGGCCCTGTCAAAAACGATAAAGGTTCCATTTCTATCCCTGTACACCTTTACCTGTGCCCACTTCTACATTCCCTATTCCCGCTGCGTGAGTAATCAGTATGCTCATCTACCTTCCTCACCAACCAAAAAATCGATAAAATCAATATCGATCGATAACGAAAAGCAGCCTATGACCCGCCGGGGCCCGAAGTGTACGTGTGCCAAGTTTGGTCCGGATAGGTTCAGAAATGGAATTTTCTATACGGAACATACGTACAGACAGACATACAGACAGACAGACAGACATAAAACAGACATTCAGCTTTATATATAAGGTTGTAGAAATAGTGACTTTTCTGCAGTTTCAACTGCCTAAAAATGAGTATTTATCGTTTACTGTCACCCAATAGACTTTTTACAGAACTGCAGAACAAAGTAACAGCACTCGAACCCTCGACCATCTGCTTCGTATTCCGCTGTTTTGCCACTGCGCCACCGCCACACTGCTGCGTTGTTCTAGCGCCTCGCTCATCACTGGGTGCTCCGGCTGCGCCGGAGGAAAATGGCCTTGTAACTCACCTCACAAAACCGCTCGGCACCTAGCGAAAGTAGTTGTGAGTTTGCCTTACCGAGGACGGTTTCCCAGTATACAGCTTATTCCAAATGGCCACTTCGACCGATCATCCTTCCCTTGTGAGTACTATTCTGCATTAGCCTTTGTCAAAAAATTAAACACGTTGAAAAGCACGGTCGCTTGGAAAGACGTGTTGATATGCGGAAGGCAGTAATCGGCGAGTTGTCCAGCGCGGCGCTATCTTTCTCTATAGGCCACTATGAGGCATTTTCTGGCATTATGGAGCCTGCAAAAAGTCTAGCCCTTACCAGTCTAGCCGTTGAGAACTCAGTTTTCCCCAAAATGTTGAGATACTAGCATGCCACATGATTGGTGGCAGGAAAGCTCTGAGCTATATCACAAGCGAAAGTAAAAAATTGCAGTGGCCATATTTGAACTGATGTATATCTATATCGCTTTGAACTGTGATCTCGATGTGCATTTCGAATTGCTAAAGAGTTGCTCCAAAAGTATGAAGGACTATCTGTCTCATTTTTAGAGTGAGCCCCTCTCGAGCGGCTCCGGTCTCGCGCAAACGTCTCACCTCAACTCTGCATCGCATTCGAGGAAGTGTCGCCTGATCATTTTTCCCCGCATGTAATGGGAAACGACAAACCACAGAGCTACAAAAATATCTTAAGTTGGCAGCAACATTTGCATTTCTAACAGCCTAACTCAAAATGACCGCAGTTAAAGTGATTGTATTCTTTTGATTAACTCTCAAAAGCTACTCCTCATTGGAGAGCAGCAAAGGCAGCATCACAAAGAGAAGAATTTCGTTTGTTCAGCAGAATTAAATTTGCGCACGCTGAGAGAGCAAATTTTATATTTTTCCAAAAATGATGCGCAAGAACTTTCGGACCAACCTAATATATCAGGTTGGTTCATGATTAATGCACGTTTTCTCAACTTCCACTCCAGATGAAGATAATTCATTTGAAAAACAATCTTTCTGAGCGGAACAAAAACTGTTATAGACAGCAAACTTTTAGCTATACAACGTATACTTTTGTGTGATTGCACTCATCACTGGAAAGATTTTATGGCTCAAAAATTACCGAGAATTTTTTCTGGAAAGCTCTGGTTTGAAGGAGCATAACTTACTCTCAAAAGAACTAGATTGGAGCAAACTTTGCTCATTGTGTAGCCGATGGTCGATTCAGTAGTAACGTGGAATTTGGCTTTTACCAAAAATTTTCTGCGGAAAAAATATTGCCAAGAAAGCAAAAGTACCATTTTCTCCTGCATTTTAGAGAAGGCAAAAATCTGTATTTTTTAGATTCCTTCAATTTTTTCTCATTTCAAAAACGAGAAAATTCTGCCGTTTTCCTATTATTAGTAGTCCTTGGTCTACTCTACCGAAACCAAGTTGAAACTTCTGTAATTGCTTCTCATGTAAGCATTTTATAAAGCTTCCAGTGATTCCAGCATTCAGCTAAGTTTGAGTCAAAGCTTCTCGGCTCAGGATTTCTATAAAATTTAGCTTTGGTGAGCATTTTCTAGCACAAATCTTCGCGATTATAACACATATTTTTAAACAAATTTCAGCATTTTTCATGTTAAGGCAAGTCGAATGAAAGGAAAAAATTTTCAAGTTTGAGTTCCTTACCTTCAAAGGCACGCAACTTCGGTCTGAACAAAGATCTCCGAAAACAGAAGTGTATGTTTGAAAGTAGAAGAAACGAGCTTTCCGATAGTCTTGATGGTCTAGAGAAACACGATTTTCGATTGAAAACTAGCGCTTGAAAGGAGAGATAGGAAAAACGTGCATTAATTATGAACCAACCTAATATATACAGAGTGTCCCAAAAGTATGTAAACACTTTGAGCATGAATAACTCTCTTCCCACCAAGTCTTCTCCTTAGAATCAAGTACCATTCGGTAGAGGAGGCTTCAACCTAAATTTATTGTATTGTGAAAATTGTCCAAATCTCTTTATTACTGTGAGATTACGGTAGGGATTTTGAAGAGGATTTTGAGCCATCAAAGGCTACATATTGCCGCAAAATAGATACTCAAAGAGTTGAAAGTATCGTCCTTAGGCTGTATTAACTCGCTGATCATTAGCGTGAAAATTGCACCTCACAGTCAGACATTCGTCATAGGTTATGCCAAGCAAACTGCATAGACGTTTTTTTTAGTGTTTTTCATGTGATGTGATTGGACTATTTGCAACTCATAAAAAACTCATAAATAGTTGTCTGACGAAGTCAGCATGTCCAAAAACACTACTGCGCAGCTTTCTAAATTTATTTGGAATTTTTGTCCTAATAGCCTATTTCGGATGACGCCATATCTACCGTAATCATGAAGGAATGAAGGACGACGGGTAATTCGCTCTATACAGCAAATCTAAGTTGAAGCCTCTTCTACTGAAGAGTACTTGAAGCTAAAGAGAAGACTTAGTGAGAAGAGAGTCATTTACGTCAAAAAGTGTGTACTTACTTTTGGAACACTCTGTATATCAGCGGCGGTCGCAGGATTCCCGTCCAGAAGGAGAGGGGGAGGGAAGATTACAAAATTTTCTGCGAATGAAGGTGCGTAGCGTTAGCCATACACTCCGAAAAATTTTTTGAGGTGCTTCTCAAAATTTTCCGAGTCCTCAACCCTCAAAATCTGGAAAAAGGGGGCGTACCATGCGGGTGGCGAGCAAGGGGAACGATGGCTGTTGGGTGTCAATAACTCCGCATACTTCACCGTCATTTTAGTCCATCTGCACACAGAAATTCAGAGCTTTTCCTTCTTTTATGCTTTTATCTAGACAGGAGAATCGTATAGGCTGTGTTTGCTTGAAAATGGAATGTGAAAATCAGCTAAAAATGTCAAAAAAAGGTCTCAAAGGTGAAACTTCCAGTATTTCAAGCTTTTTACTGTAAGAACGTCTTCGAATTGCACATACAACCGGGATTCAAGCAAAGCTTATTAAGCAAGTTGAGTAGAGCATTAATTTCATTTCTACTATTTTTATAAGTTCGCAATTTGCGAATTGTGAAGGCAAGTAGTGCATTGGCACCAGCGGCTGGCAATTGCTATCGTTCCTCTTGCACCACACCCGTACCATGCAAGTATTAAAAAATTTCGCGCCACAATCTCGCGGGAGGGGGGGGGGGGCTATATATATTTTAAAAAATACTAAATCTGCTCCTGCAAACATATATAGAGTGTATCTCCCAAGCAGATGATGTGAACAAAATTGGTGTCGGCACAAGTAACAATAAATCAAATTTCTTTGAAATGTTGAAATTCACTTTGCGTCTGCTCGATAAGATGAAGATCAAAAAGATAGGCATCTATGTATCTTAGAAAAACCATCGAAATAAAAAGCAATTTGTAACCTAAAACCTCTAACAAACTTCATCACATCATCTTTGTACAGGCAAACGTCCACATGCCATTCCAGCTTCACCACCAAATCTTCATTTTTTATAGAGGCATCTACGTTGCGAAATACTACGTAAATTAAAAGCTATTGTAGCGCTGAATCTTTGACACACTTCATCACATCTCCCTCATGCAAGCAAATTTCCAAATTCTGCCACTGCAGCTATAGGCTGTAGGTCCTATAGGCCACCCACCATCGGTCGCGAGGATCCAAGGGATGAAGCTGCGCGTGCGCGTCGCATGCGTAGGAAATTAGTACTCAAGCGCGACTGATCGCCCAAAAGCATGCGCACTCGCCTCCAATGCTGTTTTTCCCTTCGTTTCAACTCTTCGCCATGGCTTTCCCGTCCTTCTGCATGCTTGCGTCAACTATGGCTCATTTTGGATGATGAGGAGTCGTTTGAGGGGAGCACCAAACAGAAAACTTATTGAGAGATGCTTTCAATTCATTCTTGAACTATCAGAATACTGGAAAACTTAATGCACACTTGTGAAAACAAATCAAAACATTCGCATCTCCTCATTTAGCATGAATTAGCCACTTCAGATGCCAGCAACAAAAGTTTGAGCATGCAAATCAGCATGTGCAATGCGTTTTCAAGCGGCCTAGCCTTAGAATGAGTATTTGAATGGTTTCCATATTATTTTTGAAGTGAGATTATCTAGAAATACAACAACATTTGAAAATGTTGACCACAATCGCAGAGAAACTTCTTAAATGATGGTTCACGCTATGCTCTTTTGAAGATTTGCAACATATAAAATACGCACGCACATGAATGAAAACTAATGTAGGAATGTAAAGCAGAGATAGACAAAGAAACATCAAAGAAGCTTGAGTCAGTCAAAGTCAGTTGATCCATTCAACTCTGAAGCAGGCCAATTTTGCGCCCGAGTACCAAATTCCTACGTATGCGGCGTGCGCGCGGAGACTCATCCCGCGGTTCCTCGCGACCGATGATGGCTGATATGGCCTATATACACCATCGATTCGCCCAGTCTGCACAAATCTTGGAAATAACACTTTTGCTTTTGAATGACTAAATGACGTTCTCGAAGTTGCTGCGATGTTCCAAAACTTGATAGTTAAGCGATTCACCCTGTTAAAAGAAAACCAAAAACTTATATTAGCGGTTAAGTCACTATTCCAGCAATGATGAAAATGCACGTGTAATGATCTTTTTATCTTCATGTTCAATTCATTCTCAGCTATTTATAACGTTTCGGTCAGAGATACCGTGATGATTAGAATTGTGGCTTTAATCAGTCAGTAATGAGATCGCAAAAGTATGTTTTTGTGTTTCCAACAATCATAGTTTCTTCTTTGTTCTTGTCATGTACTTTTAGGCTTGAAGTTGTTGCAGTGCTCTCGGATATCGTCTTCACATTGTTTCGCGGTCTACCATCACCAAAACGTCGCCAGTAGGTGGTGTCCAACACATCAAAATTTTTGTCCATTTTACTTCGTATTCTGCTAAGGATATTCTTCTTGCGAATCTCCATTTTCTTCGTCGAACTGTTGAAAGCTGTTGTTCACATCCTTCAGTTTTGTGATAGAACAAATACATTTTGCAAACCTTTTAGTTTCTTCACCGAAACCCAAACATCAATCATTTCATCGCTCTTTGGCATTTGAGGAATCTCATCAGCGAACTTTTAGTTGCCGCCCACGTCTCGTATCCGTAAAAAAGAGTCGGAAGAATCACCTAATCGAGGTGGCTACGCCTCAGATGCACACATTCTTGTTGATTAGGAATTTAGGCTATTCTGCGTCTGGAAATCTCTTTGCCATGAGTACGTGGGCACTGGATCAGTTGACCAAGATAAATAAAGGGATTCAGGCGTTCTATGACGTTGTTTCTATATGATAGTCGAGTTCGTCCAAGCTTCTCCATTTTCGCCCACCCAGTTGTTTTTGCTGACGTTGATTTTGTGCCAGCAAGTTTTCTCCGACTAAGTGTCACACATTACGAAGCTTTTCAGCCATTGTCTGCAGTCGACCTGTATCGTGTCCTATAAGCACAACGTCGTTCGCAAATGCAAGGTAACGAAAGGTACAGTCGAGTAGATTTAGCGGTAAATATAGTGTGCTTGCACAGAAGGTGAAATGCGGTGAAATTTGCGCGTGAACAAGTAGCCACGTCAGTACCGCGGGTATCTTGCGCGCGCAATTGGCCGGCGTCACAGTCGAAACTATTTCTTCACGCGCCAATTTTACCGCATTTCACCTTCTGTGCAAGCACACTATATTTACCGCT